AAGATGGAACTAACTCTGGGACTCACTCCTAACCAGCGACTCTCGACCCATGAACTTGACTACAAGAAATTGTAATAAAAGGGGTATTCATGCTTGCTTAACCGACAAGCTGTAGCCGTCAGCCCTCGGATGCAAATGGACAATACAGACTCGCTTACTAGGCAGTTATTGCCTTGTAGTGGTCAGTCAGTCGCAATTCACTATCAAACACATCGTGATTTGTCCATCTATTATTCCAGATTCGGCTTTGGAAGTGGCATTATTATATCCTTTTCCCTCTGATTCGTCTATTTTTCCATTGACAGATGCCCAGCTCCGGTGAGCTACTGAACTGGAAATACGATAACTACCTGGATTACAAATCCTACTGGCCTGTTAATCGGGTTTTGAAGCCTAGTGACAAGGCTGTCCTCGCAAAATGGCGACAATTTCAGCAGGCTGTTCACAAAATCGGTCTTCTGGGCACCTCGGCTCAGGACAGCCCCCTTGCTTTGGTCACTGGGGTTCAGGGCGTTGAGAACCTGCTTACGTGCTATCGCGCCTATACAGCTAGCGGAGCACGTGTCTACTTCATAGTAAGCTTCCAGACGCTCATCACATTTGTTAATCCGAACCTTGTTATCCAGCAAGCCAGCGGCCAGTATCAGGTGATGTTCGACTTGAAAAATGTTTACACCAGCCGTAAGAATCCAGGGAATGTCTATCTGGAGAATAACCAGATACTGTTAGTCAGCGCATAAATTCGTCTGTTGCCGTCTACTGCGAATGCACTCTGGGAATGTATTTACCTCGGTCCAGTCAGAGTTGCCAACAGCAAAGACACTCATGTTCCACATGATCGTCGCAACTGGAGGAACTTTGGCTCAGTTGATTATACAATTGCTTTGATTGCTCCTTCGGCGTTGTACAATAAAAGCTAGCCCAATTGCAAACTGAGGCCCACAGTCCCAGACGACTGCAAAGTTGAGCGTGACGGTGTGATCACGATCTAGAGGCCGGAACTTCTACCCAAATTCAGAAGTTCGTTTATGCTATCTCTTCTGTATAGGGATTTTAGAGTTACTTTTTACTTCCTCGTCTGGGCTCTTTTGATGAATGGATTTAAGGCTTCAATCACTTTTTCCTCTCATATTTGATATCTATCTGTACAGCACGAAAAATTGCCATTTCCCCAACCACTAGTATTTCAATCCTTGCTTTCTCACCCCACTGAAGTGTCCTTATGAAAATCTTAATCGGGGTAATTCATGGTTGCTCGAGACAAAAATGGATAGCCTCTCTCTCTCAATGATGGAAACTTTCTGGCTCTTTCGTGAAATGTACAGCCCTTGGAACCTTTTCCTAGGTGTATTTCCTTTAATAAAAATTCACATGTTCACATGATTAAATTGTAAAATAATTGAGTGGTATGGAATAACCATGAGTTATTTTCTGCATTCATTAACCCAAAAAAGCACCTCTTAAAAAAAGTTTCGATAAGTTTTTTGTAATGAACAGTGTGGCTTATCGTACGAGGCCTTTTTAATAAAAATAATGACAAGACTGCAAAGCCTTGCCTCGATATGATGTCCGATTCGTATATTTTGCAAGCCGTATTTTGAAGACTCTCTTAATAGTTTCAATTCATTTTACTCTTCTCTGATTGACAGGGACTCATCAGTTGGCCTTACCGGATATCTAAGAAAGATATTATTTAAGTTACTACTGATGAGTTAAATAGACTTTGACCCCGATGAATCAATAATATTCCTGTGTATGTTCTGCTGTGATGGACATCGTCAGGACAAGAAGCCACTCTCTAACAAAACTTCGCAAATACTCCAAAGCTTAGAATTGTTGCTAGATGCAATCCTACCCATCTTATATACGTTGATTTAAAGAAACTGGCTTAGTGTCTTATAAATTATATTAAATAATCGTATATATGAAGGCCAAGATGCTGTGGCCTTCTGCTTGGTCGCAGTCTCCTTTAGTTTTCTAGTGTTGGTCGCATCTTGTGGAATGTACCTAGTCCTGTGTAATCTGCAATAGTATTCATGATTTCTAGCATTTGACCATTGGCTGGGTACATTCCAAAACGTTTCGCCGGCATCTTCAATGAGGGGCGCCATCGTAAGCACAGAGTTACTACTCATCAAAGTGACAAATGAAGGTAATCGTCTTGACCACTTTTCCGTTCAACCGTCGCGGCATCACTCCTCGCCCCTATTTTTCATTATATCCTCTAGCGCCGCATCTCTTTCTCTAAACCCCACTCCATATGGCCCATCCACTTATTGCCACAATTCTGTGCTCTTGTCGCCTAAGAGTGTCACCACAAGTGGGTTTAGTGAGGCGTAATCATCTCCACCATCGGTACCAGACTCCTGGCCTACATTCTGCCCCTCATTTTTTCCCCTACGCGCTTTTCAATTGGCCGCTGCTAAACGTCAAAGTCACTGTTTGGCTTTCTGAAATCTGGCTGCCTAAGAGCCTTCAATTCCCACGCTCGATTACGCCATATTCGGTGATTTAGAGCAGATGATGCCCATAACAGTGACTGGAAATCTTCCTTTCCCTAGGCTTCAAACTCATCATTCGATTATACTCTCCCTCATCTCCATCCCTATTGTGTCTTATTCTTTGGGGCCTTGTGTTCGGCTTAAGTCACAACCAAAGGTGTGAATGCATCGCTTCACTTTCTTCCTTTGAACCGCGTAAAGTAAACCCATATCGTCTCTAAAAATTGACACTCCCATCTACTCCTAGGGTACTGGGACGGTGTTCCTCTGTATGTGTTGTCTGGCATCCCCCGTGATCAAGCATGTAACCAGTCCTCTTTTCAGACACAGATACGAAAAATACACGCAACACCTACACACACAAATTGGTGACCTATATCTGGCCTACCTATGCCTTTAGCCTTCAATTTAATATCCTACATTTCTCAGGTGAGCCCCCTGGGTAAATCTTTTGCCAATTTCACGTCTGGCTCCTCTCACCTCGCCTTTTCTTGACTTCCCTTCGTTCCTCGTGAGCCGCTCCTTGATGATCTCTCTTCCTGCTGTTGAACAGTTGTCCTGGGTCCAAGCGTCTTCTTTTTGATGTATTCGCTGAATCTCCGAATCTGCAAAATTATCGCTGAATCTTAACTCTTCTAATCTCCTGTTCATCAGGTTTCTTTGAAAGAGGATGTTCACAGCCTCCCTGATCTTCCTCTTCGTGGTGTTTTCCTCATATGAGGCCAGTTTTTCCGCTGCATTTGTGTGTGGCAGGTAATGGCGATGTGTTCAGCTATCTCTGATCTTTCCGTGTTAATTTTACGACATAGTCGCTGGTGTTCTTTGATCCTTGTACTGATTGTCCTTACCGTCTCTCCGATTTATTTTAGTTTACAGTCCTTTCAGCTTACGCTGTAATCTCTGGAGCACTCCATTTTTTTACTTCTTCATGCTGTGTGGGCAAGTTGGTGAAGAGGGCTGTCCTTTCCTTCAGGATTGTACGAATGTTTCATTTCCCTAGTATTGGCCGTAGCTTCCGAGCCAATTCGCAGGAGTTAGTTTCCCAGTTCCTCTTTCCAGAACTAAGAATCAGTCAATCGTTGATTTCTTATGGCCATATTCCGGAGTATTCCAATCTTCATCCCATAAATTTGGTTCGACTAGAAGTTAAGAGTTATTCCAGCGTGCGACTTCTTTCGGAAATGTCTTCTTTCGAGAGTTTCCTCGGTGTTTATGATTTCCACATCAAAGAAAAGTAAGTTTCCTTTCTCTTCCACATCCATGGTAACTTTGAATTTTTAATCCATTTCCTTCATGAACATCAGGATATCGTCTAATTTTTCTTTTCAATGCGACCAGATTGTGAAGTAGTCATCCAAATATTGCATAATTACTGTTGGTTGCTGGGGTGACATTTTGAAATCCTCAAACTTGTCCACAGAGATGAAAGTGGTGAACGCATAGGCAGACCAAATATTTGCTCAAAGATGTGACTGTTGAACGTGAAATAGGTCGTAACTTATTAGGTTTACTTAGGTTAGGACCAATTTGGGAGTGATACTTCTGGGATTATGCGGGCTAAACTTGCCAGACCCCATGTGTATCTTTGCAAGCCTGCTGTTCATGTATGAAATTTGGGCTGAATAGTCCTGAAATAGGGCTTTTTGCACTTCAATCTTAAAGGTAGATAGTCCTTTTTTTCATCTCCTGGCAATCACCAAGACAATGGATAATTTTTCGTTTATAAGTAGGCTTTCGAGGCCACCGGTAGATCACATATATGAGATATATTCATCCTATTTCGTTTAGGGTGATGAGAGGAATTCTAGTTAAATTTTCCTACAATGATATGAGCAGACACAACGTTTCCATTGAATTTCACATAGCCTTTCTTCCTAAAAGTTATTTCCATCCAAAATGGATTGCAGTTTTGACCCCGCCTAGAGGAAATTCAATTACCAATCCCCTTACCACCTTAAACAAAATAGGATGAATAAATCTTAAAAAATGGATAATTGTTTCTATAACGCTGCACATGGCCCTTGATTTCGAGCCTATGATAAGAGTCAATTTTTGCTACTCGAACTGATTGTTGTTGTGACCTTCATTTTGCGTTTAAGTGCATGATGAAGTGATTCATTGGTTAATCTGTCTGAAGACGACAGCTGATTATCGTTGTTTTGCAGCCGTTAGACTTTAATACGACCTTCGGATTGACGTAGTCCACGTTTTGGGTGAACATGACCTCGACGGATTTTACCCAGAACGAGGTAGGATGTCTCGTGGCCTGCGTCAACTTGCAGGTCGTATTCAAGTCAAACGGCTGGAAAACAACGGAAATAGGTCGTCGTCTTCCTGTGAGATCAGCCAACGAATTTCTTTATATGAATTGAAAGCCTCCACAACAATACTATCTTAGGATATTAATTGAAACCCAGCTACTACTCGTGTTTATAATTCACCCTGTCTGTTTGACTGGCGAAGGTACGTCACCTTTAAATATCTTAGATTATTTAGCCTTTCATTTCTATTATTTGTACTATTCAATCCACTAGAACCGTATATCAAAATTACTTTTAGCTTTGGGGGTTCAAAGATTAGTTAGTCTGGGTTGGTGGCAAGTGCTGAATTCCAAATGGATTGACGACTGTCTCAGGTCGCTTTGGTATTTGTATCCTGATTGTTGATATGCCCAAAATGGACTTTGGCTTGTAATTTTACCTCCAGTAAACTCGTCTATACCCTTTAGTCAAAGATTTTTTTTTTATTCACCGCGGTCATGGTCTCGTAAGCACTTCCAAACGATTTAAAATCGAGAATTCCGTTGCTATGATTTAAATTTTGTTGACACATTCTAAGAACGCTACTGCAACTACATCAAAATAAACTGGGGTGAATTCAGCGTCCACATCCGGCTTCATTATGCAAGAAGTGAGATAAGCCGTCATTTGATCTCATTGAAGCGCCTGCCATGCGCAGAGGTAAAGAACTTTCGAGCGCTAGGAAACTACTTTCTGTTCTATTCGTATGGATTTGGGGATAAATCTTCTGGGGGTTTGGGTTTGTAGTAATCAGTTAAAGGTAAGCTGGAAAAATTATAAGAATACTTTTACGCCTCATCGCGAGATCATGAGCTTCCATGAATTATGCTTCTTTTGCGAATCAATTTACATTAATAACTAGTTCCGGTCCCAATTTTGCTCTCCAGAGAACTGCTAAGGTTTATCATATGTAAGGTCCTAAAGTTAAGACATGTTTTT